ACACACACACACACACACACACACACACACACACACACACACACACACACACACACACACAAACAAACAAACAATCAACCGCACTGTTCTCTTAACTTTATCTTGCCCCTATGACGGACATTCACAACGTTTTCCGAACTGCCAACCTGGGTTTGGGAAGACAAAAAAAAGTTCATCTCTAAATAGTAATAGTGGGGGATATAAAACACCAGCGTAATGGCTGGGGACAGAGCTCATCTCCTCAGTGATGATGCCCCAAGGAGTGTGCATGTCCATTAGTCCAGTGTAGCACAGCAATGACTGATGGCCATGAAACTTCAACCCAGTTTCATTTGAGTATATACTGGCAGTGACCTGTCTGACCAGTCATTTGCTAAAAGGTAATGATGCAGATCTTATATATGAGAATGACCAACTTAACAACAAATACCACACTGCCTTTTTTAATACCATCTTAAATAGTCAAAAATAAATAAATGAATGCAAAAATTAATGCTCAAAAAGCTAAGTTCATACTTTTAACTGTTTACTGTAGTCAAAACCACGAGAAACTATGATCCTAGTAGGGCTGCACCAATTAATCGATTAATCGACAACTAATCGATTATTAAAATAATTGATGACTAATTTAATAATCGATTAATCGAAAAAATAATCATTAGATTAATCGATTAGAAAATAATCGTTTGGTACAGCACTAGTGGAAACATTTGAGGCTTTTCCCGCTAAGAGAGGTTTCCACTTCCCTCCTTCTGCTCATTTCTTACCCAAGTGATAATGAAATGAGTAAGATGGACCAATGCACTTGTGTGACCCATCACAGACAAGGAGATCAGCCTAATTGGACAGACTTTGCTGGTTTAGGGTGTGAAGTGAGACAGCTTGCTCACGTTKTTCTACTACCTCAATGATCTGTCACAGAGGAAAGAGCCTGACACTGCCCCGAGGAAAAGATGAACACTTCTTCTGCAGCCACAAAAAATATTTAAGGAAGCTGTGTAGTATGAGAGGGAGGAATATAGAAGAGTGAAAAGCCTTTGTAAGTGTGTTAAAAAGAAAAATAGCCTGACCGTTTTCAAATCACAGTATAAATAAATTTCTTCAAGTTTGATTAAAACAAGAGCCATTATACAAGTTAATAATACCCGACATAATTGTTATTTTGAAAACAACATTCTAAATACATGCATTTTAATATTTATTGAATTTCATCAGAATAACATCCAATGAAGAGGTGAATATTTGTCAAAAGATAAACACACCAGAATGGGCACTGTAGAGAAAAATCTAAACAAAATGATTCTGCAACATATTTAAAAATATTTTTCTTTCCTTGTCTGTAACTATAAAGAGAGATTTTTTTGCTGTACATCTGATCTACAGACTTTGCTCACAAACCTGCCTAAGCGCACACACGCAGACACACACACACAAAGAACCCTACAATCACACACTTACCCTTTGCCACTAGTGAAAGGCAACAAGATCTCTTAACAACACCTCGTCTTTTTCAATAAATTTTGCATGAAAACATGCCGCTGGAGCACCAAGTTGCCTGCTGTCACACTAGACGAGTCTTAAATGTTTAATGACAACAACACCAAACACATGTGCGCACACACAGAGTCGGTGTCAGGGTGCTGCTCTGAGGGGCCCCTCTTTCATCCTGACAGGCACTAAAGCTCCTGAGCCTCTTCTTTGCCCCGCCCTGCCATCAGCATCACACTGTTTCACTCCCCTTCCTTTATCCAGCAAGAAAACCTGGACATTAATGAATTAGGAATCTTCAATTTGTGCATTTGCATGTTTTTGGCTGCAGACAGTGCAGATATTTTATAGCTCATGGCCTCATAACCATTAAGACAAGTAAATAGTGGACAAAAAATGTTCCTAAAATCGTTCTACTTCTTTCGTTTTTTTTTCTGATAAATATAGAATTTGATAAAAACGCATGCTCAACAAAAAACATGTAGATGGCATTTCATGATTTGCTGATAATGTAAGTTAACTACCACTTGATAAAGTCAAGTAAATATAATTTAAGGGAAACTCTATAGAAAAAATACAGAGAAACACAGCACTGAAACAAGATGCTGACTTTTGGCTTTAGCTTGGCTAGACCTCAGTCAGATTAAAAATCTGCACCTAAATAAAGTAGTGTTTGGTGTTATGCCTAATAGACTTAAGTCACTCCACCTGGTTGGTCAGAGGCACATGGTTTTATCAAAACTATCAAATCTTTAAAGGTTTAACCAAACTAGGAAACCAGACTACTGTACAGACATTTTGAAATGGAAATGCAAACACACAAACCAACAGATAGAAATGCACATAGACCAGCTAAAGCAGGGTCAGAGAGAAAGACAAAAGATTCCTATCAATGCTAAAGGATATTGAAGCCCTAATAAGAAAATAGATATAGTCTGCTGGCCTTACATTTCACTGTTAGCTTTATTTGTTTTCCTGATACTGATCTAAGAAAGGCAATAACTTAAAATAAATTGAACACTTTTGCTTCTAAAGTAAACCTCGGTGCTCTGTCTGCTCAAAGAAAATGGAAGCCTTGAGGTTTTTGCAGAAAGTGCTTTATTGATTAAAAATATTAATGCAAACTATTTTTGTGCCTTTATTTAACCAGACAGACCAGAAGCATCTCTGCATCCAGTGAGTCTTGTTCAAGATGTCCGTTCTCAATTGAATTTTCTAGTAAATGTTTTATCCACCATTTACTTTTGGATTTAGTCAATTATTTAATTGGTTAAATATAAAAAAGAAAACATTCATTGCAACATTCTACTAAAAAGATATGTACTGTCTGTTCCATTTGGCCAACTACAATATTCAGATGAAATCGTTTTTTTTTTTTTTATTTCCATATGAAAACTCACAGAAACCCATTTTAGCAGTTTTATTCACATCATTTTCTGTGCTTCACTTGGTTAGTTTCCATCATTAAATTTTAAGTAATAATTTCAGGAAAACCTCAGACTGAAGCAGTAAAGGATAAGAGTGGATTATGTTTACCAAGTGGACTTTTAGTCTCTTAAAAATATGTTCAGACCAGCAGCTGTCCTGCATTACTCTTGGGATCCAGAGTTTGATACATACATCTGTGCTATTTCATACGACAAACAACAACTGGGTACCAGTAGTATTACGGTAACCTTCCATAACATTACAGAATTAGGTCTTGAGAAGGGATTCAGAATGCTATTCTGATATAAGCAAAGAAAGGCCACTGAGGTAGTTATGACTGCACCAGAGTGTACAACTGTTAAGTATCCACCACACTTAACCTGATTCTAGTCTTTATTACAGTCATCATAGACCACAAACTTGCAAATAAGAATACCAACTTTTCTTTCTTCAATAAGAGGTCCTTAAGTATTGTTTTTTTTTCCTGGCAAGGGCAACAAAGACACCAAAGGTGCATAAGATCTTGTTATGTTTCTAGACTTATTGCAACTGATTCCAGAGGGAGAAAATAAATCATCTGGTGGCATCATCTGGTGACCAAAACATTACCACAAACTGAACCTTAGCAGCACATCCACYGACCATCTATTTGTATCCCTCTATGAAGTTTTCTCTTTCAGCAGGGAATTATATGACATTACAATGCTTGACTGCAGGGAGGATAAACCGAGACGATGGAGTGGTAAATGGAAGGACTGAGTGATGGATGGGTGATTGGAGAAACTGACACTGGGCTCCATTTTTGTATGTGTATAACACCAATCAGTATATTATGATGTGTGCAGTAGGTATGGTTATAAACTTATCACTTACCCCTTCTTCTCCGACTTCTTAGCCCTCTCCTTCTCCTTGTCTCGGTCATGGCCCTTACGACGACTCCTYTCCCGTTCCCTGCTGTGGCTCCGTTTGCGGCTGTGGCTCGTTCGATGGCTACGGCTTCCGCTTCCACTGCGAGACTTTCTGTGGCGCGATCGAGACCTAAAAGAAATGGAAACAAGACAATAAAGAAAATGCTCAAAGCTGTTTGGTAAATGCATATTAAAGTTAAACTTTAAGGTCTTTTTGCCACAGTAATCTTTTAAGTGTCATTTATAAATATGGATGGCGACAGTAACAGGAAAGAAAAATAGGAATACTAAGTGCAATGCAGTTAAAGAAACTACATCTTGGGTACAGAAAAGTACAGTTGATTCGTTCTTTGTTGATGGTAAGATTTTAAAATAAAAATGCAAAAACAAACAAGAATCAGCTTACGGTATATAAAACCACTAAACTCAAGAAAAATACTTGGTTATTTAGCATTTATATGACATTATATAACATTTATAG